GAACTTGCTTAGCACCTCTCGTTTCCAAAGCCAAGGTGTTCTGCTTGTATTCGTGGTGGTGTCCATGGGACGTTTTGGATCAGGCTTGGCCCAGGACTCCCACTTGTAGTGAGCGGGTTGGAGGTTATCAGCACAGGCGATGTGCTTGGAGGGTGTTTGCAATGGCAGCCTGGTCTTGTTACTTCCCAGATCGGTTGGCAGAGAGGGGCCGGGTGACTTTCTGCTCGTTGCATCACTCTGTCACGACCCGTCTCGTCTGGTAGGTTGGGTGTTCACGAGCTGCAGGGCATGTCAGCACAGCTCGGGAGGCCTGGGTTCTGCTCTTTGCTGCGTACATGCAAGTCAGGCGTGATCTGGGTTTCGCAAGAGCTCTCCTGTGGTGAAGCTCCTTCCTTTTGGAATCGTGGTGACTCTGGTTTCCCGGCTTCCCCTCTTGCCCTTTCTCCTGATAGAGACAGTGGGGCAGCAATGCCAGCCAGCACCCAGAGGTGGAAGCTGCAGGGCTGGCGGCGGGGAGGCCTCCCTGCCCCGTCGGGAGGCGGGCGCAGGCTCCGCATGCTTGTGGCAGCGTTGGGAATCCGTGTTATCGTCCTTGGGAGCGAGCGGGAGCATGATTCACCAGAAAGTCCTCCAGGAAGGCAGTGGGGTTTCAGGTTTCGTGAGCTATCAGCTAGCAATTCCGGGACTGGGAATATGTCAGCCCCGTCTCTGCTGGCCCGGAGCTTCCTCCTCCCCCTCTGCTGCTGTTCAGACCGGACTGGAGGAGACTTACTGAAAGCAGGTTTTGTTGTTTTGTTTTGAGGTTTCATGTCTGCTGAGGTCCCGGTCTTTGATTTAAAGCTGTGGCTTTTCCCATGTACCGGGCACAAATACTCTCCCTCCGCATTTAGATGTAGCGCTTCATTCAACAGAGGTATTTCTTGTGCCTTGTGCCTCCCTCCCAACATGAGGTAGGCTGGGTTGTACCCCCGTTTAGTGACGGGGGAATCGAGGCACCCGGAAACAGTACGTCTTGCTCAGAGGTCGCTCGTGGAATCGGTGGCAGCCGCGGTAGGAGCCTGGAGTCTCGTCTCCTTGCTTTAACCACTGGGAATTAACTTTGCTATTGTGTTTAAAACTACTGGGCTGGAGTGGGTGTGTTGCTAAATAGCAGAGCGCGCCAGATTTCTATGCAATCTTCTTTTTGTCGTGTTCTTTTCAAGATGTTTTGGATCGTTTGTCTCCCCGTGTCAGCGTATCTACTTTCTACTTAATTCTCTTCTGTGGCCCAGATGTGTGGCATGCCTGCTGGAATCCCGGCTGAACCTCGGGGCGTGTACAAGCAGCCGTTGAGATGCCTGTCGGCATACTGCAACCAGAGAGAGGGGAGGCCAGGGTGGATCCCCGCTATCCGTCTGCAAGAGAGTCCAACTGTTGCTACTCCCGAAAGCAGAGCAGAATCCGCAAGCAGCTGCTTCTGGCCTTGCTCCCGTCAGGATTTGCGAGAGGAGTGCGGTCGGACTCAGTCAGGCTGGCAGAGGAGAGCTTCCCGAGGTTGAGCCGGGGCCTCCAGTCAGCCCAGGGTGGCTTTCCACCTTGCCACTGGCTGATGCGAGGCACTGGGTGTCCTCCCTGTGGCACCAGCCTCCTCCCCAAATGAAAAGGAAGAAGGCAGATGCCCCCAAAACGTAACATTCTGGAGGGACCTCGCAGCCAGTGAGGCTCATCCGCACTGCAGGCAGCATCTGAAGGTTTCGCTGTGGCGGCTGCCATGTCCTTTGGGATCCATGCGTGTGTTCCCTGCAACCTGACCTGAGAACTAGAGGGGTAGGGGGTGCATCTCGAGCGTTAGTCTCTGGACTCTGCGGGCATGGTCTTAGCGGGGCCTCGGTTTTCTTGCTCCCTCCCCAGGGTACTCGCGTGTCTGTGCTATGCTGTACTGGGGTTGTGCGGCGATGCTGCTGAGCGCTCACGTTTTTGGTGAGGCGCTTTGGGATCTCTTTGGCGTGTGATACCGTGTCCATGCAGATGTGCCACCGGCAGACCTGCGTCTCCCAGCCTGTCGCCAACATGGGCGGCGGTGGTAGCACCTCCTCAGCTGGGCCAGCAGCACCCTGATGTCAGTGGGTTTGTGACCCCCGGGACTGCGGCGCAATGTGTTGCAAAGATTGCGGCACAGCAGGCGGGGGCTCTGGGCCACCAGCAGCAGCAGCT